AACCACCTCGATGACACGCCCTAATAACGAGTGGGCGTACGTCCTTACCAACCAGTCATAATGACAACTGATTTTTGCGGCCAGTTTTACGACTGAATTTTGCCATGTTCAAAGTAACAATCTCATCAGATATGACATGTATGCCTTCTGATGGTCACAAAAGTAATATATTCAACTTAGGTTAGGTGGACTGGGACTAAGCACGTAATAACCCCCAAAAGTTAGTTCAATGTCATGTGACATTTGTCTGCAGTTGCTACGAGGACATAATATACCAACCTTCAAGGGCGATTGACAGGTCATTTAACATGAAGGATTGACTTCCGAGGGACCCCAACGGAACCAAAACGCTTTCCCTTAGCAAAAGGTATGGAATGAGTGACACCTGGTGATCACAGGCTCCCTTGAGTGGCGTCAAATGTGGAGAACCGTTTCATGTTTCTCCACATTCCTTCATATCCCCTTTTTCCGTTTTAGTTTTGAAAAGGACCAGCTTTTGTACTATAATGTGGCCTTTAGAAAAGGTAACTCTAGAATTATGGACATTACACATAAGAGCATCTTAACCACCTTTGCACGTTATTGCCGATCTGGAGGGCTGAGCATTTCACCATAGGAGACTAGCTCAGAACATATGCAAGCAGCCTTTAAATGTCTTATCTTGTCGATAACCACTGTACGATAAAGCCGAATCGAGATCGACATGCCCACCATCTCAAAATCAGCATCTTTTACGGATTCGGTGACGAAGACGGTGACGTACCGGGCGCCAAGTTTAAAGATCGTATGCTCAAAACCTGGCCGGACCAAAGCATTTTTGTCTGACATCGATAGGCTATTTTACACTGATTGCGAACGGCCTATTCACGTTATTGGTGTATTGCAGTATTCGGCGAAATACAGTATTATCGGTGAAATGCAGTACACTTGCGCGCAAGTTGATCCATTATGAGGACCACTAGACACAACGGCAGCTCAGGGCAGGGCAGGGATGGACGAATTAATGAGGACTACTAGACACAACGGCAGCTCAGGGCAAGGCAGGGATGGACGAATTAAAATTGCATTTAAAGTCAGCTTATGTTAAAACCGAAGACGGACTGGGGGAGGAGGCGAAATGCTCGACAGGATGCTCGTGACCCAAGTCGAGTCAAACGGGTGTAGCAAGGGAAGATCCACTCCACAGACTCCTCTCGATATCATCATGTCCCTAACTCAACCTCATCCTCCATCCCGAGCAGTGAAGTGCATATATGTCTCACACGGCACTGGCCAGCCTCACACTTGCATATTGTCTGGAGGGAGCGCCGGGTGCAGCACATAACGGCGTGAAATTTTATTTCCAAGACGGCGAGGCTGCCTGAACAAGTGAGAACATTCTTAGCATCAAATGAAAAGGGAGCGCCCTCATGCTACTTTCAGCAATCCTTCAAGACGCCAGAACTCTTACAAGAGGCTTTGGAAAACGTTGCAAAAGTTACAGAATGTTGTGAGAGCAGTCAACTATAAACGAATCAAGAAAGGGCCTTAAAACCAGTTTCAGTGTTCTCGCTAGGCATTAAGGATCCTGAACCGAATTTTCCAGCTTGTTGCAAAATGTTGAAAAGGTTGCAAGGGTGAGTTACCACGTTATGTGAGTGAGTCATCACCTTAACCCCGCTGCAATGCTATACTTGAATGAGGAAAAACACGCAATTTAACACGGTGTTGTTTACTGCATTGTGAAATGTGCTGTGGAGCGTCATCACCGACAATCATCAATCATCATCATCGAAACATTTCTGGTGTTGTGGAGCGTCATCAAAACGTTCCCCGCTGTCCACTTTGTTGCACTGCTTCCAGAAAGTACTATAACCAATAGAAGACTTCAAACTGAACTATCTCTACGCAACTGTCGGTAAAAGTTTGTACGTCACCACCACCGGGATCGAAAGGTTGGGGTATTCCCGGATCCCCAGGAAGTTTTTAATAGGTTAAGCGGTTTCTCTGGTCTATCCACATCACACTAGACGCAATAAATTGTCCTTAAAAAGTAATCAATGCATGATTGTTCCTCGGTTGAAATAATTAATATGTACAGTGGCAGCGTCACCTGGCTGTTGCCCGACTTATCGCAGTCATGGCCCGAACGCGGTTTTAAAGCGGGGAGTCCGTGATGGTAGACTGCAACGCTAACACTAGCCACTAGCTGTTCATCGAGGCCGACGACAACGATCACTTTAAACATCAGAAAGCATTTTGGACCAGAAGCTGTTTCGAAACACAAATGAAAAGCAGACTCGGCAAAAACAGGGAACAATCGAAACGGGAATTCGCAATCAGACGAAAAAAGTACAGTCCCATTTGGCCAAGCGATTGAGTTTTCTTACGTTTCAGTTTGGTTTGGTTTACGTTGGAAGTACTGTGATCTTTAAGTACAAACACCTTACACGTTTTGCAAATGCAAGTTTATCTAAGCTGTTCAGTGCGGCTGCGAGGAACATTACACATACCAATGCAATATTAACAGCATTATTCCTCGTCGAATAACAATCCTGACTGACGGAGGCGTATAGCCGAAATATACATACATATATACAATATATTATATAATATATATATATATATATATATATATATACATTCTTCATGTATGCTAGTGATTCAATGAGGAATTGGGCTGTCAGTACCGTCTTACGTAAGTGCAAGTTTATGAAAAATGCGCCGAAATCACAGTCCGTTTGACCGCGTCCCACAGAAACATGACTAGCAATGATTTGGGTTGACATCTTCGGCGTTACAATCGAGCTGTTGGTATGCTAGGGCGCGTTACAAAGAGAAAACAAAAACTCCCTGCATGGAAAACAGTATCCCAGGAGTTTAATGTTTGTCAGGGAGCGTCAAAATATCCTGCGAGACCAGATGCCGTTCATTGGGAACAGTGACTCAGAAGTGCCCTATTTTCCAGCACGCTGCAGTCCGAGGCGCACGCAGGATTGCGCAGTGGGAGAGCGGGGTGGTGGCGGGAGTATAGCTCAAAAATGTTTCACTGAAAATCGAGCACGGAGAGCCGCTGGCACGCGCAATTTTTTGGCGCATCTTAAAACATTGTATGTTCTCAATTTTCTTACTGTCACGTCTCTATCTGACATTTTGAGACATTCACATTTGTCACGTATACATTAATGCATGACAAAAACTTGGTTAGGAAGGGGTACACTCCCGGGTGTTACTGTATCCATACTCTCCTGCTTGCGGCGCTTCAATGGCGTTCATGCCTGTCACAGAGATGTCGCAGCCTCTCAGCTGTCACCGGCCAGCTCTCAGCACGGGCACGACGTCTTGCCTTTGGGTGACCAAATACCGTTTGATGTTCATGCTGTTTCACCAAATTAGATTTGTTTGAGCACTATTCTTGGTGATGTTTGTTGCTAGCTATGTATCAAACCAATTTTGGGTTGCCTGTTACCTTCATGAACGATGTATATGAGGATTAAATGTCGTTCTGGCTTAGGAATGTACAATTTTGTGAAGATGTATTGATACACGTTGTTTTCTGTGTTTAAATACCTTTTGTCATAAACGTGGTTCCTAAATGTGCAAACCAAGACTTTTAAGCGTAAACCTCCCCCTCTTTCCCTTCCAAATGCCGACGTTTTCATCCAACAATCTGGCAAAAAAAGGCCGTAGAACTTGGCTAAGTAGGATGTTGTGGCTTGTAGTTGGACTGCGATCGTCGCCGTAGCTCAAATGCTAGTCACAGAGTTCCGATGATATTTTCAAGACAGAATTATTATCTGTTTCTGTGGCAACTGCCTTTCAGGCAGCTGCTTTCTTTGCGAGTCTAATTCGACGAATAACTTATGTTTCGGGCTTTTGCTAGGCCGGTTCAAGGAGGGATCATTTTCTTGTCACTGAATAATAAGGCATGACCAGCCTGCACCATCTCGACCCTCTCCAGGCGGTTGCCAGTCGACTTATATGTGTATGGTCGAGCTGAACAGATCCGCCTATATGGCTTAGCGTCCAAAATATGTGGACAAGAAGTCCCCATCCGATCGCCTCGACCATCGTAGGCGAGTGAATAATACGGCACTGAATAATCGCGTTTTTCTTAGGCTATCCCGCAACGCAGTTCTGCACAGTGGGTTAGTCTGCTTCGTTTGTGAGGGCTAAAACGTGTTATGGCTTGATCAACGACGTTTTCAAGGTATTTGTGTGACAGACCAGGGGTGAGAGCATATTCGGACCATTTTCCCCGCTGCCGAAAGCATTCGTTCCCAGGTCAAAGAGCCACTGACAACGCGTCTCTTTTGATGCTGTGGCACCTCCTTCTCACAAGGTGAATTTTCGATCAGTCCAAAGGCCACGTGTTACGCTCATATATGATGCAAACTTTCCAGAAAAATAGTGTTTCGGTAGAGTTAATGCTATTGTGGAAGAATACTCCGGATGAAATGAGTGCGTTAAGAACACGCCAACTGAGATGTTGTTTGCTGCATAATCGGGCCGGTATATTAGTTGGTCTGACACCAGTGTGTAAAATGCCCGCATGGCGTGTGGAAGAACACCAGTTGCGTTTTACCTCCCTCGAGGATCAGTCCAGCGCACGTGCTTGCCCATCACGCGGTGTTATCATGTCTGCAATGGCCATGGAAACTTGCGCATCCCTATCTAAAATGGTATTGTCTGAATGCGTCTAGCATTGATCTATGGGTATGATGAGATCGTTGATCATATTTGCTTCTACCTCACTTATTCGGCAATCAGCAAGGCTCAGTAGCATCAATTACCCTTCCAGCTCGAGAAGCGGCTCGGAAACGAAGGCAATGCGTCTTATTTGGTTCGTTTGCCGTCCCCGCGTGGGTGGTGCGTGCCGCCATTGGTCGGCACGTATGACGTAATCAAGTGACGCTGGCAGCGGCGGGCGCGAGGTTGGGAGCTGCGCGCCCACCGGCAGGTCCGAGGAGCCGGCGACCGATCCTTGCGGGCCCACTAGACAGCAGCAGCCGGCTCGGCTCGGTCGCGCCGCTGCTCTCTTCCAGGCCGGCCGACGGGAGCGCGCAGACAGGCTTCGTCGAACAGGCAGCGCGGCACTTGCCGACGCCGGCGCGCATACAAGAGGCCGTCGGCGGACGGCACTCGGCGCTTGACCCGCCGCGGGTCACCAGGGCGGCTGCCCTCGTCCGCACACAGCAGACTGGCCAACAGGTGGCAAGCATGCAAAGGTACAGGGGAAGGCTTTGACCGATTGTAGATAACCAGCAGCGTCGTGTGTGTATGTGTGTATGTGTTTGACTGGATGCATGCTCAAGCGGCTCAAAATATGGAAAGTAATGTCAAAAGTAGTCGTTTTTCGCCTTTTTAGTTTTTGTTCTGTACGCTAGTGGTGCAATGCACACTTATATTTCGGTTATTCCACCAATATTTAAAAGGCAGTTAGTTTACGCTGATGTCATGCTATACGATTGGGCGCAATTTTCGTGCTTTTTAGACAGATCGGATTGCAAGGCTGGTTTCCTTTTGTATCTCACCGCGCCATAGTTATATAAGCTCAAAGAATCCGATATAGTGCCTGGTGCCCTAGATGTAACCAAAAATGTTAGCCGAATTCTGTATCGCAGGACGCAAAAAAATCAAGCCACCTCAGTGAGCCGCAAAGTGAAATTGCTTTCTTATTTTGATTACAGGCAAGTTAGAGATAACTGGCCATATTTAAGCGTATATGACCGTATCAAAGACTTCGAAGCGGGTTACGACTTATTGTTATTTCGGAGTTCCAAGACACCTGTAAAACTTTACATCAAAATTATAGTTTTGTGATCTTTTTTATAATTCGGTAAGTTTGGGTGAAACTGGGCATGTCATAGGTTTTCAGAAGGCGATTTTAAAAATATGTGACATGAATACATGACCATCGGGGACGGCGGAAACGGGAGCGGGGGGCAACGAGGACAGCCATCCCCGCATGCAGATGCTAGTAGGAGCAAGCGTACGGGTTTGCCCTTCAAAACTGCTGCGGGTCGCGGACAGTACGTTTGACCAGGACTGCTTCAGCTTGCCGAGCATGGATGCGACTTCACCAGACTTCATAAGTTGAGCTTGCTAATTTCGTGTAAACTTCGCCTAGCTCTGGGCTTGCAATCTCACCTTGGTCTGTCACACGCATCTCAGCGCTACTGGTGCTGCACCTCTGTATGGGCATTCTCACAGTACCGAGTGACTCCAGAAAAAGTTTAAGATCAACCAAGAGTCCATGTGTTGAACTATGGGAAATGACAACACAACACCGATGTACGGTAATGGCATTGCATGCCTTTTCGGTCTATACCGCAACGGCTGAAAGGTAGCAGATGCGGGTGCGTTATGATGGAAAGCAAAATCAGCTGCTTGTCTGGCCACTGAAGTGGTGACAATGATATGCCGAAGCAACGCGCGCGACGAGGCCGCCAGGCGTCTGCCACACGACTCTGTCGATAAGCTCTGGTTGCGTTTGGGCGAACTATGGCACAGCGTGATGCGTCAAATCCGGAACGCCACGTTGAAGCTCCAAGGAACCATTCGTAAGAGAGGCTCAAAACATTGCCATCGGCGAAGCAAGATAGTGGGGGCCTACTGGTTTTGTGGTCGGAGTAGAATTGTTGCTTTACGTGTAGTTCTCCAAGAATCTTAGAAATAAAGACAGACAGGAAGCTTATTTGACGCCATCTCATCATGCCTTATTTTACTTAACACTAGCATATGCTGCATTGATGCTGCATTGTTCTTTATAATAATCTTTGAAGCGTCAGGAGCCGACAGTTTTTTTTTTAATGTGTTGTGCACAGCGCACTGGGTTTGAGCAGACCAATCGCTGGGAAGGAGGACCGGTACTCAAAGAATTCGAAAGGCTGAGATGGTGTTAGTATTGTGTGGTTATAGTATAGTGTTTGGAAATAAATCTCTCGAAGTGTAGAAGCTTCGAGTATAGACACAATACCCATAGCAGATACACGGACATTCAAAGGAATCAATAAAACCTAACCTAAAGAGCAAGGGGCTACTTAAACAGGACACCTAAAGAGCAACGGGCTATGCAGAAAGACGGTCAGATACGCCCCCGGCGAGCACGGGCCTGCTGCGGCCAGAGGTCCATACGATGGCCTCCAAAACTGTAAACGACCGCGCGAAAGCCAAGAACTGTGCGACAGCCAGCAGGCCCCTGACAAAAGCCAAGCACATCAAGCGACCAGGGCACTTTCTGTGCGCTCTGTTGTAGGGAACGGCCAGTTGCAGGCAAAAACATTCATGTAGTCAGGCTGATTAATAGCCGTCAACAGCTTTCAATTTGGTCTGTGCATGCTCCAGATTTTCAGAAAGTTGCATCAGATATTTAGCGTAAAAAGCTAACGACAAACTAGCAAACCACGGTGTATCAATACTGTTGGTTTCAGTGACAAGAGGCCTTAGACAAGGTCTTTCTATCAAATGGATATGCGTGCGGAAATTAAGACCGCTTTCTGCTTTCATATTTACATGGGATATGGCAGAGTGGAAATCGATATTGTATAGCCCTTGACACACTGAATACTTCACACGGTCAGTAAGTCATCAGCGGACGTGACTTATGACATGCCAAATCAGCTCGTGTGGCTCAAGCCTGGTATGCACAGCCTCTCCCCCCAACATGTGAAGAAGTAACTATGACAAGGCGTTTAAACGAGCTATGATGGAATGTGCTTGTCAAAACGTATGACACGCTAGTTAACATACCGTAAGATGCGTGAAACGAGGGCTTAGTTTCATACAGTAAAACTACAAACTTGTGCGTTTTTAGTTGCGTCTTTTCAGCGTGCGGGCCGATGGCAAGCCGATTTTCACTGTTATTTTATTTGTTAAGCCATTGGTAAATAGGGCAAGTCGATCAGACGGATATCTTTTTGGTGAATGTGTTCATGTGCCGCAAATAAAAATGCGCAGTCTCGTTCTCCAGCTTTTTGAAACTAGGCTTGGCCTAGGTCATCTTCATTGAGGTGTTTGGCTCACTTTGATGTGGAATACGACCTAATTAAATGCTGCAGAATAGTCTTATCACATGGTATGACGACATACAGGTGTGGCAAAGTGGCAAATGTCAGTCAACTGCTGGCTTTCAAAATCAGCTTTTTGACACGACACTGGTCTATATCTTTTTTGGAAAAGTAAGATGACATAATGCGTTTTTGCCGGCTCTCATATCCTTTAAATTACACCCTCGTCAGAGCGGCTGTTTCCGCCGCCATCCGAGGGAATGTTGAGCGCCAGCTGGCGGACGGAGGCGCAAACTCGAACCCTGAGGTTTGCTGCCGGAGTTGTCTGCCGACCGGTGTCAGTTGGCTTCGCCTAGTGTCAGAGCACATTTTTAACTTCAGTTCACAATCGGAGAAGATCTTCAGATACTTTTCATGACCTAAGGCTGGTATTGAGCTGTTGAGAACGGTCTAGACAGGTGTTTAGCTTTAATAGATTGAGTGGAATCTAGATTGCGTTGGTTGTTTCGTTAGGTGACGAGGACCCGCTGGAGCCGTAGGTGGCAGTCATAATACGTGTGTTCCCGTACCCTGGGCCGTCATCAATAAGCTAGCTGGATGAACTGGTGCATAGTTCAAAGCAAAGTTGGTGGGGAGTAGGAAGTAGAGCAGCTTGGCAATTGGTCGCGCAATTTTCATTTTATATCACGTTAGCTTGGAATCGATTTCCTTCAGGACTGCTCTCGCTGACGCCTGTCTACGCTGTTCCCATTATTGGCCACCCAAGACGGGTGCGCTTACCCTTAACCGTCCTCGTGAGTAGCACATGGTATGGAACTGATCAATATTGATCATATCATCCTTGCGCATGTACGTGTATATGTGCTTAAATTTTGCTCTAAATTCTGTAACACTTTTCGTGGAGTCGTGAAATCTTCACACAGTAGCTTCGATCCAAAGCTTCTCACGGTAGTTCCGACCCGAAGCCAAACCACATACGTCAAATTGCATTGGAAAAATTGCATTTGCCGCCGAGCCTGCCAGAAGCCGTTGGCACGTGGCACACATTCAACCATGCAATGTCATTTGTCGATATGTACGCTTGCCAAATTGGCTCCATTATTGGATCCAGAAAGATTTAATCAAGTGCGTTCAAATGCTGCATACGATCGTCTCCCGGAAGCCACCCACAGGCCAACAAGTCCTAGGCAGGGAGGCCTCTGTGATGGCGGCTTCATGGCGCATGGCGGGGCCTAGTGTGGCTGGTGTTTTCACGGCCCGCTGGCGAGGAAGTGCAGCCGCGTCCGCAGGCCAGCCAGCTTAGGCAGCGCCAGCTCGCCCGGCCGCCGGCCGCCACTCGCCGCGACGCTGCCGGCTGACGGCGCTGCTGACGTCACACGACGTTCGTCGAGGCGCTGCCGGCTGACGGCGCTGCTGACGTCACACGACGCTCGTCGAGGCGCTGCCGGCTGACGGCGCTGTTGTCACACGACGCTCGTCGAGGCGCTGCCGGCAGACGGCGCTGCTGACGTCACACGACGCTCGACACTTGCCTGGCGTCTCCGTGCGCACGTGAGCCTCAGCATGCTCGCGCGAGTATCGGAGAGCTGGGTTGGAAAATGCAATAGACCATTACTATGCCTGGTACCACTTGACTACTTACAGCGAAAGCCAACTGTTCAAAGTGGAGCTAGGTCTTCAAGTTTTTACAGCTAGTTGTCGGAGTAATTACATAGGAAAAGACCATCGAAAGGTTCGTTGAGGAATGGTATGCACATGAAAAACGTAGCAGTGCTAAGTGACAGTGCTTTCGCAGTAAGCACCTAACAGCAGCACGCAGCAGTAAGAATGTAACAGCAGCGTGAACAAAGGCGGTTTTGATCAAAACATACCTGCGAGCACGTTTCGCAGAGCGGGTTTGCTGTTTGCCACCTCTCAAATAAAGAGAAAAAACGACACCAAGCCCTCAAAATGACGGTGCGCGACCCTCAGAAGTGCGTGTCAGATGAATCAAGGATTGTTTAACGCTATGTTTGCGGTGCTCAGTCCACCGCCATGTTCACGTACATATGTACGTTCATATCAGAATACCTTTTTAAACAAATGCCGGTCATTGGTTGCGACAAATTCCGGACGGTGTTATAGCTGTTGACAACGGCTACGCAGATGTCATAACCTGCTAGGAAGAACCGTTTGAGCAATTGTCGTAGTTAACTGACAAGTAGTATCGCCTGAGCATA